GTGGGGGTGGGGGAAAGACCCAGTAAGCAGGAACATGGGAAGAAATGGGCTCTTCTCAGGGCCAAAAGGAAATGAATTCGCTGTGGCTATGAAGTAGCAACATTCAAATGACAGATTTTTTCAACTTAATGCCCTAGGATCAAGATATCACATTTCACCTCTAAGTTGAGCCTTAGGTTACAGATGAGGAAACCCAAACCAAGGAGGAATGAAGTCACTAGTGCAGGGTCACACCGATGGAGCCAGGATTGCAGGCCATCTACCCAATGGCCTCCACATCCCATGATCTTAAGCCTGCCCTGGAGAGGCTCCCAAACAGAGCACTGGGCCAAGTGTTGGCGGTTTTAGGAGTGTGACATCTGGAGAGTCCAACCCAGAAGTAAAAGGCGCTGACACCTGCCGGCTAAGCTTACCTGCTAGTAACCCCGAGGCTGGCTGTGGTCCAGCTAGTGAGGAGGAGGTGGAGGAGAAAGCCCAGCCAAGGAGAGCCCATCACAGCAGAACCTGGCCCTGTGGCCAGTGCATCCACAAGGTGCTTTCTCAGCTGCACAAGGGTGAGCACAGCTTCTTGCTGGCAAAGCTGGGGCCAGAGGGATAATCTTGTTTTCCTCTCCATGTTGTCTTGTGTGTTCCTACATCAACCTGTTGGGTGGCATTGATTGGGTGGCTGCTGCACCTGAGACCTTCTTCCACTTGGCCTGTGCTGACCCCATGGGGAGGGTCTCACCTCACGGTGCCACCTCCTCCTTCACGGGGTCTCTTCAGCCAGTTGACGCCTCACTGAGTGGGCCTGGCAGCCCCTCCTCCAGCAGCCTTAGGAACCTTGCTGGTCACTCAAGTGCCAGACATTGGCATATGGACTCCACTCTCATTCTTCTGGTTGCAGTCCATCACTGAGCTCTGGGGACTCGTTCAATGCTGGTGTGACCACGGGTGCCTTTGGAGGCTGCCCTCTGCCTGGGCCCCAGACCGCCCTGTGCTCTCCTGCCCTTCTTCTAGGGTCAGCCTCAGCTCTGGCCACACCATGCGAGTTCCCAGCTGAGCCTCCTCTGCCATCCTGTTCTCCCAGCACCGAAGGCCTGCCCCATAGGAGGTTCTGGCATCAGTGTCTATCTTTCCCCATAGAGAGTGTGAGCAGCCATACCAACCAGCTGCTCCCAGGTAGTACCTGAGGGACCCTGGTGAGCATGGGAATGACGATGTGTCCAGGTAGGACCCCCCTGGCACTCATTGCTCTGGATTTGGAGTGAGAGGTAAGGAGAAGACATATCAGGACCAGGATTGGGGAAAGGGAGGGAAAATTTCATGAGTTCCCTGCCCAGCTCTACCTGGGACAGCTGGACCATGGGTCTGCCCAGGATTGGCCCCTCCTTGGGATCAGGAAGATAAATAAATATCAGACATGTGCAAGGGGAATACACAGCCAACAAGTCTGCCAGGCCCCCTGCTCTCCTGCTCCTCCCAGGGAAGGGGACACCTTTATAACGCTTTGCAAAGTGGCAAACCCACGTGGTTTCCCCCCAAGACCCTGCCCCACAGTAGTCAGCCTACCCGAACTTTTCCCAGGGGCAGAAGCACCCAGAGCTGCACCGTCCAGTAAGGGAGCCGCAAGCCACATGTGGCGATGGAGCACTTGAAACGGGGCTAGTCTAAGGTACACAACTCATTTTCAATAATTCATACAAAATGAAATAGCTCATTTAATCATTTGTATATTACAATGAAAATATTTAGGGGTTAAGTAAAAAGTTTAATGTAGTAGTGTCTGTTTCTTTTCACTGTTTCAACGTGGCTACTGGAAATTTAAATTATATATGCGGCTCATGTTATATTCCTCCTGGACAGCACTGCTCTAGAGTTGGGACTGACCCCCATTCGTCTCCACAGCACAGAGCGAAGAGAAGCATGGACAGGTCAAGCATAAGTACTTTGTGAGCTGCTGGTGGAAAGATAACTTTGATTTTGTTTTCTTGTCTCTTTCAAACACATCAGGAGGAGAGAGCGCAAGAGGCATTCATTTCAAGGATCTCAATCCAGGAGATGGGTGACAGCCTACAACCAGCTCCAAGCAGCAACTGCCTTAGCCCACCCAGAGCACATGTGGTGTGTGGTGCCAGGCTCACCTGTTAGAAGCAGAGCCCTGACCATGTCCAGTTATACTTCAGGACCCTCCATCGGTACCTCAGATGAGACCCAGTACCTCACCATGGCATTCAAGGCCCAGTGCAGCTCATCTATTGAGCTTCATCTCACATGCTCCCTGCTCAAAACCCTGTCGGTTCACACTTCTGTTCATTCAACAAACATTTACTGACTACTGCCCATGTGCCAAGCACAGTGCTGGCTGCTGAGGTCACGATGGTTAGCAAAATAGGCATAAACCTGTACCCTTTGGGGACCGCATGTCTAGTGGGGTCTAACAGGCAAGTAAATAAGGAAAATTATGGTACATGCAATATGAGCAGTTGTGGAGGAAGCACAGGGACCATGGGTGCACCAAAGAGGCACCTACACCAGACTTGAAGTCAGGGAGGGCTTCCTGGAGGAGGCAACATCTCAGTTAAAGAAGTCCTGTTGGCCAGACTGAGGCTGGGGGTGGTAAATATCCCAGGCAGAGGGAACTCTGGGTTCAAGAACTAACTGGAAGGGCAGAGCAGAGGGCAGAGCATGCTGAACTGAACTACATGCGTTCTGGCTGGAGGACAGAGACCAGTGGCAATTAGCTGGCCTGGTGTGTATGGCAGGGGCTTGTGAGCCCAGTGAAGGAGTGTGGCATTTATCTGGAAGTTTATTCTGCAAGTGTTTTAAGCAAGGGAGTTCCTGTTTCCCACAGGAAGTGCCTTTGCCCCTCCTTCCTCTGCTCAAATCCTGCCCCCCAGGATGGAGTTTTGAAGGAGAATGAGCAGGGGGCTTGTGGGGGCCTCAGCCCAGGGGAAAGTGCCATGGGACTGGGGCTTAGGGACCAGCTGTGGAATTTGGGGCTGAGGCTCAGTCTGAGTCCGGATTTGGGATTTGGGGACTGGATTCAGGAACTGAGGTGAGAGTGGAGTCCAGGACCTAATTCCAGGATTTGCAGCTGGGGTCAGGTGAGGAATTTGAGCTGAGGTCCAAGCCAGATTCAGGGTTGGGTTTTGGAACTGGGACAGGAATTAGATTTGGAAATGAGGCTGGGGATTGAGATTATATTTCAAGACTCAGGGTTGGGGCTAAGATGTGGGGTAAGATCTGGGGTTGGAGCTAGGAGTTCTAGTTAGGGTTTGAAACTGCAGCTGGGGCTGAATCTAAGATGGGGTTGGAGCTGGGGGAACGGGCAGGGCCCAGGCGCGGGGGGAGAGACATTTTTCCTGCGGCCCAGGTCCGGGAATTCTGCTGGAGCCCAACAGCAGCTGACAGAGCCCCTCCCTTCCCAGGAATGCCTCCCCGGAGAAGGAGTGCCACGTCAGCCAATCAGCTCAAGCCCCGACTAGGAAA